TAAACCCCTTTAATACACCTCTTTTAAAGGGACATTGTCACCATTTTATGCATGATTTTGGAAATCTCCAAAAAACGTATATCGATCACTGGAAGAAGAACAATAATGGTTTTATTTTGTAGAGCAGTACTTGACAAATAATTAAAACCCATTAGGAAGGGAGGAGGCTAACGATGGCGAGGATGGAAACGGATTGCGATATGGATTTTTGAAAAAGCGTCACGATGTCAGTTTTTCAAAGGTTCAAGTTTGGCTCGAAATTCGTTGAAATTTTGCAAAAATGTTACTGCAGTGTGGACTTTCTTCAAGAAATTTCTTTTAATATTTTAGTTAGCGCTAATTAAGTTCTTATTACATAAATTTAGGGACCATTTGGCGAATTTATAACAGTTTTAAGCAAATATATCGTGACAGTGTCTCTTTAATCTGCTACAGAAGTCGACAAGGGAATCAAGACTATTTAAGCGGTCATTTGTTCTAAGTTACGGCCCGACCAAATGCTCGCAACATTTCAACCTAACTTTTTTGCAAAATTTTGCAAAAGTTTGGCCACCCGGCTGCAGTATGTTGCAGGATGCCGGTTGGAACAAGCTGGCAGACGAGTACAACATGTTGTGCGCAACAAATTTGCAATGTTTTGGGTTGAGATGTGATTTGTAAATTTCCAAACTTTCAACAGCGTGATAACATTGGCCATTGTGCGATCGCTGATGTAATTGCACGTTGGAGGCTTTTAGGCATTTAATTTATTAAATGCCCAGTGTACTTTCGTTTATTTCTGCACAGGTTTCGCAAGGCTTTCATACTGTTCCTAAAGGACCCTTGGGGCAAGTCACAGCCCTTGATCACTGCCAGTAGCCAGGCAGATCTTCCCTGCACAGCAAAGAACTTTTATCGCAGGACAGAAAAATACAACTCCCACAAAATAATATTTAAACCATAAAGCGCTGACATGCTTGATATATTCAAATCACTCGACTGTTGTTCAGGAGTAAAAAGATACAGGTTTTATATTTGCTCGTTAAGTGCAATAACAGCTTGAATACCATTCTAACGGCAGGGCAAGAACTAGTAATTAAAAACGTGGCATAAAAATATAGCTCTGCACTTAACTGTGTCGTGTTTTTTTTCTCAAAATTGACTCAAAATGGTTTTTTCTTAACACGCAAACGGAGGGGTCTCCTAGCGAGTGATTTTTCTTTTGGTAATCAACACAATTCGTTCGTATTGTTAGAAATGTTAGTATTGTCAATAATGTTACTAATGTGAGTAATGTTGGTATTCTAAATAATGTGTACATTCAAACAAAAATTTCCCCCCCCCCCCNTATATTCAAATCACTCGACTGTTGTTCAGGAGTAAAAAGATACAGGTTTTATATTTGCTCGTTAAGTGCAATAACAGCTTGAATACCATTCTAACGGCAGGGCAAGAACTAGTAATTAAGAACGTGGCATAAAAATATAGCTCTGTACTTAACTGTGTCGTGTTTTTTTTTCTCAAAATTGACTCAAAACGGTTTTTTCTTAACACGCAAACGGAGGGGTCTCCTAGCCAGTGATTTTGTTTTGGTAATCAACACAATTAGTTCGTATTGTTAGAAATGTTAATATTGTCAATAATGTTAGTAATGTGAGTAATGTTGGTATTCTAAATAATGTGTACATTCAAACAAAAATTTCCCCCCCAAAAAATATATATATGTAATGAAAACTCACCTTCATCTATGATTTTATACGAAATTTAGTAATATATGCTCCAGAAGTTGAAACCACGGTAAATTTGTAGATAATTCTATGCAATAGCCGGGTGTAGATGTAATAAATAGACAACTTTTAGTATCTTACTCATTGCTGGAAAAACAATAAATCAGAACCCGTTACAATAGTTACGTTTAGTATACTCGAGCAATAAATTTAACCTTGAGTTGTTTAAGACTATCTCTTTTTAAATTTCATTGGAAGAGTTTACAATTGCCAATAATTTACAATTGGTGTCGAAAACCCGAAACCAAAGTTATCCCTCGGTCAATCACAAAATTACATAGAAAATCCAGTGACCTAGCAAAAACTCGAAGCAAATACGCAAAGCTGGCAGGAAGGGCGGAAAAAGTACACGAGCGAATCACGATTGAATTTGTTTCATTTCTTATTGGATGAGAAAGTGGCGCGCGAGAATTTTAAACCAATAACAAATCGTAATTGCGAATTACTTTCCACTTTTCAGTGAAAAGTGCTCAACTGCTCTTTAAGAAGGGTGACTTATTAGTTAATTCTAATTCAATTAATCAATTATTACAATTATTTGCACCCCTTAGTTAATATACGCATTTCATCTTATAAAGTTTGTAAATTAAGAGTGCGTTTGTTGTTGGCTGTTGTAGTGTGGTCACAGCCACTGTCAAATGGAGTTGATTGTGGTCAAACTGGAATAGACAGGTTGATTAATTAGGAGAATTTCCAAATTATCTCTTAAGTACTAATCAATTTTTCTTGCAAGCAATAACAACTATCTCTGTGAGCAATATCATACATGCACCATCTTTTCCGGTGGCAATATTGAATTTGCACTGAATTTCACTTCTCGCGATCAGTTCCAAACATGCAATGAATTACCCGCAAACTAGGTTTCCCTCAGCCGATCAAATTCGAGAACTATTTTACTTGAATAATTAGCTCACAGTATCGATCTTTCGTCGTCCTAATGACCAAATTATCCCTTGAATTGGCAAATAAAAAACTCTGTTAACTTTAAGGCTATTTTTTGTCCACCATTTCGATGATTTTTCCACCCTGACCTCGTCTCAGGCATCTGTTTGAAAAATCAGTTCTTGTTAAAAAATATTGCCAATTTAACCTCGGTGTTGAACATAACTTAAATTTAGATTAAGTCGGCAGGCTCGAAGAAGACATTAAATCTAGCTCCGACAAGAACATTATTGCGAAAAAGCCTAAGAAAGGCCGACTGATGCTGCTTTTCACTTGAACAGTAGGCAGGTGTGTTTGTGAAAACAGCAAATCAGCAAAGTTAATTATGCGGGCAAACGATTTCATGATCAGAGCCTTGAGTCTCTCGCTACATTCTCATTTCGGTTATTGATACATGTATGTTTCGTTGACAGAAAAAAAGAGCGAAACTGTATGAGAAAGAGTTGGATATAAAATACCGAGATAAAGTTTCAAGGCATTCTCAGTATTCATGCGGGATCGTTTGAACAAAATAAACTGATGCTTCCGCTTTTCCGGTGTTTTAAAAGGAGAAAATGTTGCATGGATCTCACATCCACTTCGTGTTCATACTAACAGTAATAATTAGAATTGTCATAGGTAATAATATCTACAGTAAGAAAAGCACGTTATTTATCGGTGCTTTCTAATTATCGTTTTGCCGCAGTTTCTCAAAAGAGATATCACCTTTGCATTTAGGTAGTGTTAATTTTCAGTTAGGTGATCTCAAAAATGGATTTCAGGATCCTGTTTCGGTTTTTCAGCTGTAAAAACAGATGTTTAGAAGGCCCTAGAATGCTTATTCCATTTTATGTTACTGACGGGGGACTCATTTTGGGAACTCGCCCAGGTTTTATTTGGAGTCTTTCTGGCGTAAGCTGACAGAGGTCTCTGACGAAAATGGAAATTTTATTAACAGTCTGTACGAATACCCTTTTGTTTCCGCTAAAATCATCGTCCACCAGTTGTGTTCAATGTGATATTGGACATGCGATGCCTTGCGCCATAAAGATACGAATAACAATTATAAATCAACTATCATCTGCGACTTAACTCCTAGGGTGAAAATTGTTTCGTAGATCTACACGTTAAATTAAATTGAAAACTACATATGTTCGACAGTACATTTCATCTTTTTGATTAAATGACTCAGGTTTAAAAATTTTAACTCATTCTCTGAGTGACGCATTCTGACTGGAGTCATTTAACTTGACAGCCATGAATGAAAACGGACGAGACATTGGCGAGCAACTAAACCTACAGCAATTTAGTTTTTAGGTGACAACGACAATAAAATGACAGTACGGAAACCAGGGTGAGATTTGTTCGATCATGCAGGACCTGCTAATTCGTACGTGATGTCTATGTTTGCTTGGATAGCACACAGGTGTGGAAATTAAACAAAAGAGGTAAAATGCACGTGCACTATTATGTAAGAATAGGACAGTCTTACTGGCTGCCTATCCAATTTCACACACACAAAAAAACAAAAACGCACGAATGGTTCCAACAATTTATTTTATTACCGGGGAAAGATTAATAAGTTGTGAAAAACAGTTGGTGAAACAGCCTTGGATCTATCAAAAATTTGATTTCAGGATACATCCTATTTCGATGCCGTGATCAACATGTACAATAACTGCTCTGTCATCTGCCAAGGAGAACAAGCCAGAATTCCAGAAAGCAATGCTTGCTTCCGTTTTCCTGTATTCGAGACGGAAAATGTTCCGCAGGAGCTCATCGTATTTAACTGCATTGTTAACATTCTGCTTTTGGTAACAGCAATTGTAGGAAATCTTTTGGTGTTATCTGTAGCATGGAAGACGCCTTCTCTTCGCTCCCCGGCGATTGTTTTGCTTTGTGGACTTGCCACAACCGATCTCGCTGTCGGTCTTGTCGTTCAGCCCTTTTTTCTTTCCATGGAACTGATGCCACTCCTCTCGAACTCAGCAGAGTATCACTGCAATTTGGGAAAGGCATTCATCACTATGTCCTATTGGGTATGCGGTGCATCTTTATCGACTGTTACAACCATCAGTGTAGACAGGTTATTAGCCCTTAGTTATCACCTGAGATATCATAGTATTGTAATTGTTCCACGAGTCATGTGCGTTCTGACGCTAAACTGGTTGACTGGTGGATTTCTGGCAAGTCTGATATTGTGGAGTGGAGATGAAGTGTTCCTTGCTGTCATGGCCGTGGCAGTTGCCATATTTCTCTGCTTGTCCACGTATGCTCATGTAAAAATATATCTCGTTGTTCGCCGTCATAAACAACAAATCCAAACTCAAGCAAGGGCAGTTCAAGTAGGTATCGGTAATGGTTTTAACTTGGCACGGTTTAAAAGGTCAGTTGCCAACGCTTTCCTAGTTCATTACGTCCTTCTTCTTTGCTACACGCCACTGTTCATTACTTTGCTGTTGACTAATAATGACAAATGGGCTGATTCAGCATTATTGAAGAAGTCCCACAGTGCCATAGCATGGAAATTAACAACCACTGTAGCGTTTATGAATTCTTCTGTGAATCCTTTTATTTACTGTTGGCGTCTTCGAGAAATGAGAGTTGCTGTAAAAAGGTTTTTGAAGAATATTTTCTGTGGCAGTGATTTAGTGGCGGCAAATCCAGACTAAAGTAAAAGGTTAAGGTAAAATCTGCATACGAACCAAGTGGCCATCAGGCCGGCCCTTATCTCCGGTTTCTATGTATCATGAAGCGACTAGGAGCACAGTATTTCTAATACTCCTGGATGGGATGCTAGTCAGTCGCTAGTTTAACCCCAGGATTAAATTCGCCGGTACTCATTTATACAGCCGGGTGGAGAGAGGCACTGTCAGAGTAAAGTGTTTACCCAAGAACGCAACGGAGTGTCCCCGGCCAGGGCTCGAGCTCGGTTCGCT